AAACGACATGAGGGTGGGTAATTAATGACAGAATTTTCATTTTTGCGTGAACTAACCCTTTAATGTGTCCTTGCTCAATAAAAGTATTAATAAAATCCTACCACAAACTTTTAAACGGTAGATCATGGTTTTCACGAATACAAATACATGAATATGTTCTGATTGGCTGTGATTTTGCTGCATCGTGCAGCAATTTAGCTTTCATTGTGGACAGAAAAATAACTTGTCACTGGGAAAGTGTCATGCTGTGTCTGATTAGCACACAGCGTACTGAAATGTGCCGTTTTCCATCTATATTCCTCTGTTCGGATATACATGTCTGCAGGTGATGGCAAACGCAATTGGGTGCAATCTAACATAACTGCCTTTCCAATTGCAAAATGGTTTGTAAGAAAATAAAACAATGCACAAAATAATTAGTCATATTTGTTTTTTGTGTTCTTGCAGTGTACATATTCAAAAAGCTCAAACTATCGTTTATCCGAGTCCAGAAGTGCGTAGGTTTCACTGAGACACTTGTCTTTATTTGAATGAAAACATCAAGCTCTTGAGACAAAATAGTCCTTGCAGATGATTATATATACAAAAAACAATTGTGGAAAAAAAAACATTCAAGAAATATACAGCATCATCCACATATCTTTTAATTAGCAAAAAAAAAAAACACCATGCTTGTCCTTTGAACATTACGGTAGAATCCAATCTTTCAAAAACCTCGCACAGAGTAAAAAAAAAAAGGTGCAAATATATACAAAACACTTCATTGCAGCCAGAGTTTTAGACTCTTTCTCACGACTCCCTCAAACTACTTAACGAATTAAAACGGAATTAAAACAATAATTTAAACAAAAACAAAAAAACATTTCAGTCCAATAATTATACAAAATATATTTATATATTTATATAGAATTAAGGACTAGGCATAGCAGTTGCCCATTAACCAGTCATCCAATCAACCAGTCAGTCACAAAGCTCTCCAGACACGTTAATAAACTCCATATATTTCTGACACTGTAAACAAGTCTGTTACAATAAAATTGATTAAAACATTTGGGATAAAGAGACAAACCGACAAATAAATTAGAATTAATTCATCTGAGACAAAATGTTTTTTTCTTTTTCTTCTTCTTTTATAACTAGAACATTGACTGAAATGTAGTTATGGATCTAAAACAGACATTTTCTTCTACTGTATCTACTGAAAAAACACCACAGTTATTTTTCCACTCACTCCGCTCCGTTCCTCACAAGTTACAGGTGCTTTTAAGAGTATGCCGTTTCACCACACGACGAAAACAAACTGCAAAGCGCCTCATTTGGCTCTGAGTTCTGCTGTACGAAACGAAACGGGCGATTTCTGATATATGGCTATCGGCCGAGGCGTCGTTAGTGTTAGCTCTGTCTTCACCAGTCTACCTAAAAACACCCCGGTGGGCAGTTGCACTTAACGATAGTCAGAGTTATCTTACAGGCAGTATGTACGCGACCAAGCTAAGTCCACTTCCCCCACAGTACGTTTGGCTTTACTCACAGTATAGAAAATCAGATGTAAACCTGACGGCGTGGTTTCAACCAAGAGGTGCTAAATCAAAAAATTTCAACCACTGATGTTTAGTTTTCAGCTTTTTTAACGTAGATTTATGATTGCGTTTCATTTCTCAAAGTGGTTCGTTCCAGACGTCGGATATTGGGTTCGCACCTGCATTGCTGACGATGCAGCTTTGGCAAACAGGCAGTAATTCCTGATGTATCGTGTTGCAAGAGGTTGAAATGCCATAACGGATCCAGATTCATGAGCTGACCCCATTCCCCCAACAGAAAAACAAACCAATGTTCAAAAAGATTCTGCTTAATTATCATCCTGCAACTTTTTCATATGTTAATGAGCCCCACATTTAGTTCAAAACATCCTGCCTTCACAATTCCAACAACAAAAATTTGGCTTTTGATGATGAACGGGGAATCTTGTTATCCCATCCAAATCCATGCGGCAAATTTGAAGGCAGGTTTAATTACATTCAGTGAGAGTTTAAAATATCCAGATACATTATGCTGTTGAAATGCACAAGTTTTCAAACCATGACCCTGCGGGATGAGGTCTAGAGTTCCTAAACCAAAAGTTGTTCTTTTGTAGCCAAATTAAGGCAATAACGATTAGTAGTTATTAGCAAATCCAATACCACAGGGTAAGAAAGGGCAAAATCTATCGACGTAAGATGTATTCAAAGGTACGTGATTCACTTTGATGGTCATTGAATATTTTCATTCAAACTCAATTAATAAGGCCCCGATGGATTTCCCTACTGTTTTAATGATCCCACATTACGATGGGTGTTTGTTTGCTCGAACTGACCTTGGTGAAGTAGGTTTTTTACATTTTAAAGACGATGTTGAAAGCAAATAGTTCTCCCTGTTGTCCTGGCTGTGATCGTCTGAAGGTATTTTGTGTCTAAAACTGGAACATGTATAATGAGGCAAAGATTTTTGCAAGATATGCTCAGTTATTCATGCTGTACATTCTCGGTGATTTTACGCAACACAAAAACACAATCGATACGCAACTAGACAGAGCAGAACTCAGAACCACATATAGCAAGGAATAGAAAACAGCTGAGAGTACTTTGAAATTCACGGACGTATCACAATTCGAGTACCTGGAATATAACGGTTTGCAGTTCACCTCCGTGGCAGCAGAGGGCGACGCCACCGCCACGGAGATGAGAAAAGTCCGATAAAGAGAAGAGAAAATGACTTAAGGCCTTGTTGTTTGTGTATACAGACAGAATCGACACAATCGTTATAATCGATCAAGCAAGAACCTTGACAAGGTTGTACGGGGGACGACTGAAGAACGGACGAGATTTGTCTAGCTGCGGACTTCCGTGTCAAAAATTGCATTGGCCTGCTGAAACGGCGAGAAAACAATCCGAGTTGAACAGTCGTCCCTTCGTTGTGCTTGGCATTGTGAACACGTTTTGGCTGCCATTTGGACGGAACAACAACAGGGAAATGAAAAAGAGCGCGACTCGCCAACTGCTAACGTTGAAAATTTAGAGTCAGGACGGTGAATCTGAACACACAGGGAACTTAAACTCATGGCTTGCAGGTAAATCTGAGAGTTATTGCTCTAGATGGATCTACTACATTAAAGATGCCTGTCATCAAGGGACAAAACTCGGCCCTCGCCAACGCAGTCGTGGAGAAGAACCACAGAATCCGAGTAAACACTCCAAACCTCACAGTAACACAGCGGTGTACAAAAAAGCAAAGGGAGCAGAAATGCCCCCCCCCCCAAGGGACGATCGCCCATCCTGGGGTACATTTCGGCAAGGGTTCGGGGAGTCATATCCGGACGCAACGAAAAGGCAAGCTTCAAAAGATGCTGATCCATACCTCTTGACAAGAAGAGGTCCATTTGGCCCCGTAATCACAAAAAAAGAACGAAAACGAGAGAAAGGCGCTTTTATAGGTCTATGGCAATTTCGAGACGAGGAGGAGAAGGTTCCTCCCATTCAGCCCAGCCTCAACACTACCCATAATGCATTTGGTCTCCATTATTGATTCATTCCGATATAAATATCTTCATTTCTGTTAATGGAGCTCGTCGCACGATTGTGATTGTTTTTGAGGCGTCTCTATGAAGAACTGTTGATATGAAGAACTGTTTTCAGATTACCCGCCGAATGCATTACTAAAACATGTTGCTGCTTTTCTCTCCCAGAAAGTCAGATATTTTCTTCCATGGCACTATCTTGGCAATTTGGCTTCCAAGGCAAGAGCACGTGCACCTTTCCTCATTGGAATGTATCTGATCCACAGTAGTCCGTGTTGAATAGTTTGTTAGGCAGGCCGATATGAACGGCGTTCGGTCTGGGCATTAGGGAGTGCGGGCGTTTGGGCGTACAGGTTCTGGTCCAGAAAAACATTGGGCTTCGTATGCTGTGCTGTGGTTCCTTTAGAGTTGATTGTCCAGTGTTTTAGCCTCACCTTCTGCTAGCACAAGCCGTGGATATTCTGACACGGGTCGGTCCGCCGGACTCCATCAATTCAGTTTCAACCCTCCCCCCAAATCCCCTGAACGCTTCCCCTCCCGTCCCGTCCAATCCGTCACCGCCCTCAGCTGCTGCCAGACATCAGGTTAATGGCTTGTTCCAGTTTGTGTCGTAGCTTGTGTTTGCGACAGTAACCGTCTCTGTCCAGGGCTGTCAAAATCTGAGAGGAGGAAGAGAGGGGAAGAGAGGAAGAGGCCATTAACTGAAGGCCGAACCCATGTAATAATTCAATATTCGACATCGTTCTGAGCGTGAGAGTTTGCGGACGCTCACTGGAGCTCATAATGACAATGATAAATGACCTCATCAGATACGGCACCGCACATTCATCAAGATCAAACCGCTAATACTGAAACAACATTTGCATTTCAATTCAGATCTCATGTGCATCTTTAAACTACCGTTATAGCAATTTGCACGACCACTACCAGGGCTTATGTTTCTCATGATCTTACAAACGTTTTGATTTAAATGCTTCCCTGAATCCCTGAAATTAGTACTGTTTAAGTTGTGCCTACTGCATATACAGTCTGAATTCAAATGTTTTTTTTTACAAAACTACTCAATTTCTACTTCATACATACATGTTATATACTTTATACACACATTATATACATACAAAAAATCTTTTAGATTACTTTTAGATTACTTCTAGATTAAAATTTAGATTACTTTTGACATATCTCGTTTTTCACATTGATTTAAATGGGATAATCTTGTACCATATTGATATAAAAATACAAAGAGTATATATTCCATTTGTTGTTATTAACATCATGAAGTGCATTAAACATTATATTACATTATAAAAATGTAATTTAATCTAATTACAAGTACTTAATTTTTGGAATCTGATTACATAATCCAGATTACATGTAATCAGTTACTACCCAGCTCTGTATATTGCATTCACATTTTTGCTGAAATGTAATACATATATAATCACATTTTAATATTTATATTAAATATCAATATTTTCATTACTGTATAAATTTTAAATATTAAATATGTATATATAAATATTTAATAAGTATACTTATTAATTAAAAATATTAAATTGGGTGTTGTTGCTTTTATATCTGACTGAATACTTGTTTGGTGATGCTATAACCACGTTTGAATATTTATATTAAATATAGAATTATTCTTATTATTGTATAACATTATAAATATTAAATATTTATATATACATATTTGATAAGTATACTTATTATTTTTTTTTAAATCTGAAATTGGGTGTTGTTGGTTTGATATCAGACTGAATACTAGTTTATTAGAGATGACGCTTATCTCACAAACTGAAAAACCAACCACTTTATACTTTAAACCCCTCCAAACACTTGACTCTTGGCATGCTAGTATGCTGGTAACAGTATGCGTAAACGTGTAACGTTTAGAACGGGATGTAAAATAGAGTCCCAGGTCTCACCTCTTCCTTGTACTTGTTGATGTAGAAGTACAGTTCACTGAGCGCGCTCAGTGTGTTGAACTCATTGCCATGGAGACGGGACTGCTCTACTAGATAGGCATCCATGTCTTGATCGCTGATACTTGGCATCTTGCTGATGTCTCGGTAATATCTTGAAAACACACACACACACACACACGTTAAAAATCATCTACTTCATATTGTAAATGAAGAGTTTGGAGTTAATCTACTAGAGAAAATGAAAACTAATGAATTTCAGTTTATGCTGCCTAGTAAAAGACTGTAGTGCAAATTACTAATAACTGGCACCTACTAAAGCAAGTACATTATTATTATTGCTTACATGATATATTTTAGTATCGAGACAGTATTATAGTTTTTATTAATATTTTACATTTTTATTTTCGGTTTTTATTTAGTTAAAAAAGTTTAGTAATGTGTGTTTCTGTCATTTTCAATAAATTTTTTTAAATATGTCCATATTGTTTTTAAAATAATTTTTATTAAAATTTTAGTTATTTTATTAAAGCTCAACTTGATGAAAATAAGAAATGTTGCCTCGGCATCTAGCTGAAATAAAAACAAGTTGTATATATTTAAATTTTTAAATATATTTTATATCAGTTAAAGGTTTATTTCAAGTAGCAAAATGTTTGTTATTGTTTTAGTTTTAGTTAACTATAATAGCCCTGGTTAAAGGGATGGTTCACAAAACAGCTGATGGTAGCCATTGACCTCCATAGTATTTTTTTCCATACTATGGAAGTCAATGGCTACCAGCAACTGTTTGGTTACCAATACTCTTCAAAATATATATTTTTTTGTGTGTTCAACAGAAGAAAGAAACTCACACAGGTTTGGAACAACTTGAAGGTGAGTAAATAATGACAGAATTATCATTTTTGGGTGAACAAAAAAATCAGTATCCTTGCAAGTTTTGAACCTAAAGTACAATCTTTCAAGGTGTTTAATTACTAGGCTATACCAATCAGATCAAGTCCGTGGTATTTTGAGGCATGTGTCCGTACCTCTCCACCCAGCTCTTGTAGTTCGGGATGTCTTTAGCATAGAGGAGCTTGTTTGACGGAGAGTCTTTGCCCAGGCGATGCTCAGACGTCGAGCAGGAGTCCATGAAGGTCTGAGCCACCACTGACAGACAGGCGTCTGTAATACTGTTCTTGTGGATGTCAAAGACAAACTGAGGGTTTTTGATCACGTTGACCCAAAACCGCAGAGGAAGGCTGGTTTAGAAAGAAAGAGAGAGACAGTACAATAAAATCTGATTATGTCCAAAAAGCTTTTTAGTGATTGTGGTCTGTCTTGAATCGCACTAAAGTACATTATTTTTTCAATTGCTGCATTCCCGAAACAAATGGAACTGAACTGGCAACCCAGCAGGGCTTCAAAACAATCCAAACAGATGCTGCAGAAAATGAGGTCAAAGGCAGGAAGTGCTTGGTATCTCACCAGTTGCTCTTCCAGGTGTGCCGTACGTCCGGGTCGGTGATCTGTCTCTTGTCTGCTTGCTCATCCAGGAAATCAAACATGTATTTGATGGCCAGCGGGAGAGCGCTGCCGCGATGGGCCGTACTGAACACCGTCTCAAAAAGATCGTCCACAAACTTCTGCAGTGTGCCCTAAAAACATGACACATGAGAGTTTACAACATGCTTTGGAGTCACATCAGGTGTTTTGAGGCACTATTCACATTTTATTGAAAAAAATGCTAATTGTGAGGTTTCAATTTATGTGTTTTAAATCTTTAATGTTATGGATGTCAAATGATTATTTTAGTTAAATGAATGATTAAATGGATTGTTCCAACTTTTTATTAGCAGTCCGCTTTATAATGTACAAATAGTTAACTGCTAATCTTTTTTTTACGTTATTTACTCACATTATTCTTGTTCTAAAGCTATGTGCTTTTTATTTTTTTCAGTACAATACAAAATTACACATTTTTGTCATACAACGACAATTTCATAATGACCATGCCTTTTCTTTGTGTGCGAACAGACCAAATTTCAGTTATTTACTAATAATCTTCAATTCGGATGAAATTTGGCTGCATTAATCTCCATTTTCAAAAATGGTACACTACCATTCAAAAGCCTGAGGTTGGTACGATTTAAAAAAATATTTTCGAATGAAGGCTCACCAAGTATTTATTTAATAACAAATACGCTAAAAACAGTAATATTGTAATATTATAATTACAATTTAAAATAACTGTTTTCTATTTGAATATATTTTCAAATGTGATAAAAATATAAATCCTGTAACAATCCTTGAACAGCTGATGTTAGGGTGAGTAAATAATTTTTTAACCATGGTAAAACACTGTAGCATACAGCCTTGAGTGGTTTATTGCATTAAAAAACATACGTTTCCTGTGCAGAATGATGTTTATGTACCTTGGTAGCCAGTAAGCGTGTGAGGTAAATCTCAGACACCATCTTGCTCCCACGATCTCCCTCCCGCTGGTCTGCGTGCTCATGGTTCTTCACCAGGTGCCAGAGTTTGGTGCCCGTCTCTTGGTCAGGTGTGATCATGGGAGCCCTGGATCGAAGGCTGTCTGGACTACTAGACGTCCTCAGCAGGCTCTCTATGTACAGTACAATCCAAATGAGCATGTTCTTCAATCTGCTTCTTGACAGTGCATTGCAGTTTACATATCTTAGTCTGTACATCTAAACTGTTTCTGAATCATTATCTTTCTAATAGCTGTGTCTCAAAGCCTAGTGAGCCGAATCAGCGTTTACTGTCTACAAGTATAGATGTCTAAATAAACATCATCATGACTGAAATGGATCCTCTTACAGTTAGTCAGACATCTTAAACATTGAGAGCATGTCTATGATATCCAAATTGGCTGTTTAGCTTACTAGGTTTTGAAACACAGCCTACAGTATATTATTTTATTGAATGGCTGGTGAAAAGATCTTGGATTCCCATTTGAGCCAAACATGCTGCATGTGGCATGACACAAAATGCTGGAAGAATCAATGATATATTAAACAAACATGGCTAAAGCCGAGGATTGTGTGGCGTAAAGCGATCTGAGAGACTGAGGCTTACCGTATCGACTGAGAGAGCGAGTGAACGTGAAGGAGTTGGCGATGTTGTAAGCGGATACTTGCTTCTGAACCAAAGCCACCAAAGACCCATCTGTCACCTGAGATCGAAAATGAGAACTATAAAAAAAGCATCTCCATTTTTGTACAGCACACGACAAGCATTTGTAAATTTGCATAACATAACGGAGCAGCTGCCAGGAAACGTTGTTTAACCTGGTAGTGCGCCAGTGTGTTCAATCTCTTCCAGTCGCTCTCGATCTTTGTGGTGACGTCTTCATCTTGGAGGATGATTCTGGTCAGTCGACCCTGCCGCCATTCTGGAGAAGAACAGTAAACACAATAGCCTTGGATGATGTTTCTGGAGTATCAAAGGTAACATTTATGCAACGTTTTCTGCACTTTCTCTCTAATAGTCAACATAATGTCAAAACTGACTCTATTTACTGGTCTTTGCACTGTGCACAATTCACAAGTGCATGCTTTTCTTAAGAAAACTAAATCGTTTTCATAATCGTTCTTCAAAATGTAATAACTGTCAAAAACTGACTTTTTAACAAAGGTCACTCAGGTGGCGTGGAATTATATTAACCAAATAGAAAAAGAAAGTTTGTCAAGCCTAGTGCATTGGATTGACAGACACAACGGTAAACAATTAGACAGACAGACACAGACAGACAGACCGACCAAACGAAATGACAGACAGACAGATAGATAGACCAAACAAATGATAGACAGACAGACAGACAGATAGATAGACCAAACAAATGACAGACAGACAGACAAACAGACAGATAGACCAAACAAATGACAGACAGATAGATAGATAGACCAAACAAATGACAGACAGATAGATATATAGACCAAACAAATGACAGACAGACAGACAGACAGATAGTTAGATAGACCAAACAAATGACAGACAGACAAACAGACAGACAGACAGATAGATAGATCAAAACAATAGACAGACAAACAAAATGGTAGATAGATATAGACATAATCATAAAGAATGAGACAAAGAACGATAGATAGAATGATGCTGTAGACAGACAAACAGAACGATAGACCGAGAGACAGACAAAATGAACGAACAAAAGACAGACAGTATGATAGAAAGATAGACAAACGAACGATAGACAGAAAAACAAAAGACAGTATGATAGAAAGATAGACAAACGAACGATAGACAGAAAAACAAAGACAGACAGACAGACATAATGAACAAAAGACAGACAGTGATAGAACAATAGACGGACAGACACAGCAATACAGACAGACAGACAGATAGACAGAATCAGACACAGGCGGTGAGTTCTTTACCCAGGTCCATGTCGTCGGCCTGTGGGCGCTGTGAGTACGGGATGCCTTTGTAAACAGCATCTAGCAGCTTGTCCTTCACCTGAGTGATCGTGTCACAGTTTAGCACCTTAACAGGGATTTCTGTACCGGCCTCTCCCTCCGGAGGAATACACATGAGCGTCTGAGACAGAGCAACACAGAGATTCGGGATAACATTAGCAACAATAGAAAACATGACAATATTGATCAACAAGATGACCAGCAAAGACACAAAAACACGTCTCCATTAAAATCTAGTATGCAGACCACACACACTAACATACACATGGACTTAAGAGGGTGCGGAAAGGTCATGGGACATTTTATCATACACAGCGGGAGACTGGAGCTCTATTTGGCCCGGCTCTGCCAGCATATCAAAGATTGATCGGGATCTGGTTTCATGCCTCGGCCTGATTTATCATAATAGCCATCTTAGCTTTAACTGTTATGTCAATGGTGAAATATTTATCCGCCTGCAAAGCGGTATTCAGAATATGTGAAACACGCAGGTTTTGATAAAACGGTCACAGATCGATAAAAACAAACGGCAAGAGGTGATTGATCCGGCCACAAACTAGGATTCATATGACATGTCTGAAGGTAAAAGATACTTTATGCTGAAGTGTGTAATATTTTTGATGTTTAATATGCAGAGACAACCATAAGAAAGACATTTATAGGTTTATTCCCCAGAATAGTGTAAACATCTTCTCTGCTGTGCTAACAAAATATTGATCTGTTTGTTTTTAGCAGCCTAACCAACACAGCAACATTGAGTCAACCAATGGCATGACTTTGGGGGCAGGACTATTTGTTTGACAGACCAATGACAGACAAAGCAATGTTCAGCAAATCTTAGGGGAAAAAGTAAATGAATGAACAAACAAGTTAAAATGTACAGAATTTGACATTATTAACATTTTAAAGGGGTCATATGATGCGATTTCAATTTTTCAAGCTCTTGGTGCATAAAGAAGATCTGTAAAGTTGCAAAGACTAAAGTCTCAAATCCAAAGAGATATTCTTTATAAAAGTTAAGAGTCAGCCACGCCTACCTAAAACGGCTCGTTCTAACACGCCCCCACATATCTACGTCACTGTGTGGGAAGATTTGCATAACGCCACCCAAATGTTCACGCAAAGAAAGAAGACGTAACTTTTATTCTCGCTGTAGTATTGTAG